CATTGTTGATATCTTTTGCTTGTGTATACAACCTTAACAGTGTTACGCAGTTTGAAGATAAGAACAAGATTATATGGTCTCATCATCATTTTTAATATGAAATGGCGTCGTTTTTTTTTCTCCTTTTATTATGTCTTTTTGAGAGATGTAGTTACATAAACATGAAGGCAGATCATACGTTTATTAAAACAAACATTTTCTGTTGTAATCTATTGAATAGCATTGTTATTTGAAGGTGACAATAATCTTCAATTTCTCGAATATATCAACCAAAAAAATCTAGGAAAAAATATTTGTTATATAAAATCTACATATGCCCGTTTTATTAATTTATTTCAAAAATAAAATTTATCGTTTGAAAAGTTTCTTTTCAATAATGAAAAAAGGTGTTTCAAAAAACATAGTCACTAGAATTGCTGCAGCATAACTAAAAAATATATGTGAAACAAAATTATTGACAACAAGATGTCCTTGATAATATAAAGGCATTGTTTGATTGTATAAAGTTATAATAATAATAGTAGCATGTACGAGATAACATGCATAATTAAGTCTAGCAAAAGGAGACCAAATAGGCCATGAAAGAATTTTATTGACTATTCCACCTTGATTTGTACTACATAAAAACAAAATCCATCCAATAACAATTGACCAAAGTGTTCGTGATAATGTTTGATATGCAATAAGTTCGGATCGAGTTAGACCAGATACAAGAATATAATCAGGATATGTTACAAATAAACAAACTAATGCAATCACAATCATTAATACTGTTACGAAATGTTTAATACATTTATTAATTCGATATTGACGACCAACATTGATAACAAAATATCCACTTAACACACCAACAGCATATGGAGATATACGACACCAAGGTTTTATATAGATATATTCGAAGAAGTTAGGACCATTCTATATTAAAAAAAAGCAATGATCTGATATAATAACCATCATTAGTTGTAGAAACTTACGGTATTCGCGAATCCATTCATATCATCCAATGATATTTGAGGATAGTAAAGTAGAATACCTAAAATTGATCCACTTCCAAGTAACACTAGAAGAATAGTAATGACAAAAGAGAATGATTTTCGTCTCAGAACAAATGGAATTAATGATAATGGTGCAATCCAATGAAATTGCATGTCATTATGAAGATACCATGAAACACCTAAACACATATTCTCTGCTTTCACGAAATTCCCAACATAAAGAATAGATGTCCACCAATATTGAGATCGACAACCAGTAAATTCAAATCCTTCTTGTTTTGGATAGATAGGACCATGACCAAAATATGGTGTTAAATTAATACTTACAAGAACCATCAAAAGAAATGTTGGTGTCAATCGAATATATCGATGAATATAATAAAGAATCATTAAACGAAACGATAATTTTCCTTCTTTTTCTACTTGTCGAATAAATAAGACTGCTGTTAAAAAACCACTAAGAACAAAGAATGTATCAACACTAAGAACTCCACTTATAATCAATTGAAAAAATATATTACGAGTCCAACTGACTACATCTAATGCATTAATTGAGAATGAAAAACCAAAGATTAATGAATGACCAATAATAACCCAAAATAAAGATAATACTCGAATACCATTGATAAATACAAATGAATTTTCATCATTTTTCTGTTTCATAGTAAATATTCGACGAAGAGTTTTTAGAGCAGAAAATTCAGCTAAGAATAATGTATGAGATGTAGTAGGAATTAATATTTGAAGTGAATATCGTGATGATTTTATTGATGCTTGTTCAGATATCTCTGTATTGATGAAATGAGTATATCCATTCATATGTGAAGGTATATTATCACCTGAATCACCTCTCGACATAAGAATAAGATCAATGATTGTTCCTATCAAAACAAGTAAACCCAACATTGAGAGAATAACAATAGTTGCAATTGCTCCATGAGTAAGACCTTTTTGTCCATTAGGAGGATCATTTGAACAAATAACATTATCTTCTGTAATATTACTTTTCTTGAATAGTGTATGAATCAAAGAAACAATTGCTTGTCGATTACATGATGATGGAACACAAATACCAAGAATAAGAGAACGTGTTGGAGTTGGAATTAGTGCAGATGTTTTCGGTGCAATAGTGCCTAAATAAACTTTCATATTACATTTAATAGATACACAAATTTACTCACAATGTTGTGTATCAAATGGTTGCGATAGAAATGTTTTGTTATTGGGTAAATACATTGGTTGTAAACATTCATCATAATTACCAACCCAATATAAATTTCCTTTCAATAGACTAGATGGTAATGGTTTTCCCCAAGCATCAAGTACTTTCAATGCCCATGTATCATGTTTTAATGTTGCTTGAAGAAGAATTTCAAAATCTTGTTCACATTGCGTTGTTTTGTTATTAGAAAAAGACATGTAGTTAAACATTTGTTCAGGGGTAAGATTGTATGGTACATGATCAATTAGATTTATAGGCGAAAAGTGTCGATATTGATGTAATCGATGAATGGCTCGATCAAATCGCAATGGAATGATCTGAGAAAGTGTATTTGAAAGTAAGAAACAAAACAACAAAGAAACAACAGTCAACATCTCGAACTACTGACGAGTGCGTACAGTATATGTCGTTATATAATATGAGGACAATGATAACGATATTGATAAGAAAAAAAAATCCTCGTTATCATCTTTGAAAAATGACATGGACAAAATTAGATTTTATTTTATTCAAAATTAGACATTAATTGTGTTTCATCTTATCCTTCAACATTCATGATCTGTTTCTTGTTTTTGCCGATAACAAAAAAGAATTGTTGTAATAAAAGCAATGATTTTGTATCAACCAATCCAATATAATTGTAATAAGTTCTTCTTCCAACAATAATGATGGTGCAAAAAATGATCGTTCAATAAGTATTGATATTGAAAGATCGTTTCGATTTTTAGTGATAATTATATTTATAATAAATCGAATTGTAAATAAAAATAAAAGAATCAATGTTGAGAAAATAACTCGACGCGTAGTGAATTTGGTCGCCATCATAAAAGAGTATAGAAATTCTCCGCAGAAAATATTCAAATAAAAATATTTAAAATAATTTCACTTAAAATAGGATATCATAATGAGGATGATGAATCAATATCTATTTCTAGCGGAACACGATCGACATGTGAAATATGAACATGAAAAATAAATCGTTTAAGATCCGACGAGGCAAATGGTGGAGGTGAATGTGGGTTAAGATCAGAACAACACTGCAACCATACCCACACACTTCTTGTAACTAGGATTAGACTTTTCAGAGATCATAGAAGGACGTAGAATGAGGATATGGATTTAGATGTTGCTGTAATCTTAATTTGATACCGACATTCACCTTCGTGAGAATCGAAATTCTAATCCTGAATGACAAAAAATAAATAAAAAGAGTAATGCAATAGAAATCAAATATGTTAAAAGTAGTAAATATGGATTTACTTATTTACGCAGAACCAAAGGAAAATATAGAATACGAAATAAAATATTTCATTAAAAAAAATGGGTGAATTAGCTTTCATCTCACCTCTTCCAAACATCCGGATACGTGACCGAATGTTCGGAATTAACTTTTTTGTCGTGTCTGAAGTTCGTAAAGAGTCATGTTCAGGAGATCGTAATAGAAAAAAGAGAAATCGAAATGATTTTACCGGATGTTCGGAATAGAGTTTTTCTTGTATATCCGATATAACACCCAGAGATCATGATGAATAAGGTCAGATGTTCGGAATAATGCATTTTACAAAAAAAAACAACCGGATGATCGAAACTTCGTAAATAAAGATTCACTGGGACTGGGAGATTGTAAGGATATAAAGACTTTTATTTCTGTTTTTTTCTATACAAGAATAGCGTTCATTTACTTAGCACATTCATAATTATATCAGGAGACATTTTTCTTTCTCTATCGCTGCTCTCTATACTATAGTAACTATAAAAGTTGTTTCTAACTTTCGTCTTTTAAACCTTTGAGGACGGGATTACTTTGAAAAAAAAATGGAATTTCCGAAACCCAAAAAATGATGTATATATTAGAAACAAGATCAATGAGGGCGCAATACACATGACAGATCTATGGCCTGTGCAACATATAGATTATAACAGTATCATAAGAGACACATGTGTAAGGTAGTTATCATCCGGTCCAGAGTCGTTGCCTATATATAAGCTTCCTGCCCCTAAAGGGTTAATGTATTCATACAATTGATAGGTATCAGTTATTTTTGTACAAATGAAATACTATATAGTGTATGTACCAAAGTCTTTTCTTTCAGATATGATTGATTATACAAGCGATTCAATATTGAAGATGAACCAGGCTAAGTTCTCATAAAGAAGTAAAAATTATAGACTCCAATAATATCCTATCATAAAGAAGAAAGTGTACTTTGCTGTTATTTCTTATTTCTAGATAAGAATGCAAATGAATAGAATCTTTTTCCTTGTTTGAATCTACATTACACTTTAATTTTAAATATTCTTAATGGTTATCACTCGTAGTCAAAGTTCGGTTGGGGTGTGGGTGGGTGTGGGTGTGGGTGCAGAAAGGAAAGAAGAATCCCGCACCCATACGCCCACCGACATTCATACTCACATCCACACCTACACCCCACCCCACACCCACACCCCACCCCACACCCACATCCCACCCCACACCCACACCCACACCCACGCCCACACCCACACCCCACCACACCCACACCGACACCCACCCACACCCACACCCACATCCACACTCTCGCACCCACATTCCCACACCCACACCCACACGCACATCCACATCCACACTCCCACACCCACACCCACACCCTTTCCATTTGATAAAGGTAGACTCATTTTTCATCTATTATTCATTTACAGTAACTTTAGTTTGGGATCAAAATAATCGTAAGCTTGTAACCTTTCATCAAATGTATGACTTGATTAGACTGAATTTTATAGTCAAACGAGGCCAAAACGTCTCCTTATGCGCCCCCGTCCTTTGCATTATCTGCATTTTGCTCCTGATCAAGAGCAAGAATCTCCTGTTTAAGTTGAACAACAAAATTTTCTGTTTCTATGAGATCTTCATGTTCTGGTTGCAATTTATCTCGTCGAATGTTCAGACCATGTTGCGCGTATTCAAGTGCACTCTTTAAATCACCTATCACTCGATAGGCTAAACTTAAATTGACCAATGTTGTGGCTGTGTCTGGATGATTGGCTCCTAGTGTGACTTCTCTCATATGTAAAGCTTTACCGAAATAATCAAGTGCTTCTGATAAATGACCAAGATGACGATGTGCTTGGCCCATGTTGTTGAGTACGCGAGCAATGTCGGGATGTTCATTGGTTCCATAGAATTGTCGAAATTTTTCTTTTGCCTGTTCGTAGAAAGGCAGTGCTTCGGCATACTGATCCTGTATGGCCTTCAAGTTAGCCATGGAGTTGTATGTATTAGCAATATTTGGATGTTCATAACTATAGGCACGTTCATAGATTGCCAGTGCTCGCTTCATATGTTCAAGTGCGTCGTCATAACGTTGTTGATTGCGTAGCACAAGACCAATGGTAAACCATGTTCGGCCCATGTCAGCATGAGAAGCAGGCAATATACGTTCACGGATGTCCCTCACTTTGTACAGCGTATCAAGTGCATCGTTCCATCGTGCCTGGTTCATATAGACAAATGCAATTTTCATCTCATTTTCTGCCACACTCGGATGATCCTTGTGAATGCCGGCCGCTTGTAAAGCTTCACCTGCTCGCCGATATAGGTTAAGTGCTTCCTCGTATTCTCCAATTTGATCCTTGATCGCACCCATGTTCCCGAAGGCACTCGCTAAGTCGTCGTAAAAACTTAATCGACTGGTAATATCTGCTGCATGCTCAAATGCAGTAAATGCTAGCTGCCATTTGCCAGCCATCATGAGCAATACGCCTTTGTTGTTCATTGTCATAGCCATATGATAAGTGAGTTCGGGTTCTTGCTGTTGAATGGCTAATGCGGAATTAAACCATTGAAGTGCACGGTCATAGTCACCCTTATTATGCCATGCATGGCCAATATGATTCATGGCTATGCCACGATCGACTCGCGATAGAACATGTAAACCATCTAAATAATGAGCAAAAAAGAAATTTCAACAGTTGAATTGCTCTAAAGATAATAGCAATATTCGACTAATAGATCATTCAGCTTTATCAGTACAAGTATCATAGGAGACTTCTACGTGCAAGATGAGATCTAAAAAAATTTTGGATAAAAAAAGGAATTTGGTACCAAAAAAGAAACATGAGATGGATAAACAATGTTTTTTAAACTCTTGCGCATTACAATAAAAAAAATCATTAAAACTTAAATCATAAGTGATCATATTTGAGTTAAAACTCATAAAGGTATTTTCGAATAATACTTTGGTCATTTTGAAAATGCTAAAACAGATTGAATAATAATAAAAAAACAGTTAAAGAAAATATACAAAGATTATGTAATGTATTTTAGTCATTGAAAACAAGTGCCTTTTGTTGATTCAATCACATTCTAGTCAAACTTTTGGTAGTTTGTTTTAGATCAAAAGTCGGACGCCACGTTCTAGATATCAATGAGGATCATAGAATTCAAATGCTGTGCTTGAATAGAATATAATATATAGAAATTCTCGCTATCGAAATCAATAAAAAAATTGAACCCTTACAACCATCTCTTTTAATTCAAAATGAAATTTGGAACTTCAGAAAGTTCGATTTTCTCTCGTGTAAACACCGAAAACTTTCCTTAATTTTTCAATATTTTTCAATTTTAAGAGTAAAACTAGTCACACCTTTATGACATTGTGAAGTGAAACCGGAATCGTTCAAAAAGTCTTTGGTAACCGGATTATAAATTAAAGAATTCAAACAACTAGGACTGAATAGTTGTGACTTGGCTTATATCTGGTGGAGCATGCGTGTAGACACAGAAAAGTTGTAATTTGCAGTTTCTACATGTATCGAAGTTGGATAACAGCTAATGCAACGTGATTCGATACTGTATGCTATTATCATAGTTGTTAAGATTCTGCTACGGTATCTTAGACTTGACACAATGGATATTTATTGAGTCTAGCTGAGATAAAAATATTTTTACTTCTTACAATTCCAAGTTTATGATGGAGTTGATTAAGAGCTCTTCATTTCAACTCTTCTGTTTGTTTGAAAAGGTCACTTGAATCGAAAAAAAATGAAAAATTTTGGGTCAAAGGAAAGACCAATATGAACACCTCAAAGAAAAAATAAAATTTAAGACGAAGAAAAAGACCGTTGCAAGATCTATGGATGTCTGGATTGTTTTAGGACAATGTGATTAGTCCATTATTTATCTTACCTAAGTTACTCCCTGTCGATCGTGTCAAGCTAAAAAATAGTTCAATACTTCTCATGAATAAAAGCTAAATCATATTCTATTGGCGTTTACATTTACCTTTTTCATTTTCTTTTGATTGAATCAATAGCTTTTGAAAGTATTTAATAGCCTCGTCTGGATCGCCCATGTCAATTAATAGCTTTCCAAACAGCATTTCGGCCGATAAATGTTTCAATTCTCGATTACTATCAGCCACGTACTTATCACCCAACTCTTTACCTTTATCACTTGCCTGAAGTTGAATGATCCAACGATCCTCTTTCTCTGGATCTCTCACGATTTTGATAAGTTCAAAACTAGAATCAAGGTCAAACAGGATTTCTTCTTCTTTTTCAAATTGACTAAATGGTTTAATATCAGCACATATAATACGTTCTAAACCAACAGGCACATCAATTTCATATATGATCTCGATCTAAAAGGTTAAAAAACATAACATTGTATTTAACTTCTTTCGCTTGAACCACATACTTTATTCGGATCATGATTATCATTTGACCCAAAATGTTCGACGATTTTGCGATTTCGTGCCGTTGACAAGAATCCACGTGTCGATACAAGATCACCTTTTCCCATTGTTTCTTTCATTTTTTCAAATTTATCTCGATCCATTAGAACACCACGATAGACAATCAAGTGTTCTGTTGGACGTGGTAATTCTTCCAGTAATTGACATAGATCCACAATACAATATCGCAAACTGAACAATGCATCGATATCACGAGCACGAAGAGTCTTATTGATAATATCTGATATGAAACTAGGCTGTGTATACCACCATAGAGCGTAGTCGGATTCATAGGTATTAGCGAAATCGAACAATCTTTCAAGTTGCTTCGGATTGCTTTGATAGTACTCCTGAAAACGTTCCATCATATCACTTTTAGCTTGAGGTGATTTTTTAAAGTGACGAATGACATTACGCAGTACATGAAACCATATGAATGTGGCTCTTTCTTTCGTCAGATTTCGTAGTGATTGTTGTTCATGTTCAGTGACATAAAGACGTTCGACGGAAGACCAGCAATATTTAATACGTTCAATTAATATCGAAGGGGAATCAGAGATTATATCAATTTTGGGTCGACTTTTTAGATCTGAATATTTTGTTTGATCGAAACAAAAGATGAAAATCGTATGCACATTGGGCGTGACACGAATTAATAGTTCGTCGGCCACAGATCCAGACAAAACCAGAAAGATCGATTTACATTCATCATGATGAAGTTTCTTAACCATCATGTCACATAATGATGGATCAGTAATAAGTACAAGAGCAGGATCAATCGTACGTAAAAGCTTTTCAGTTTCATATTCTGTTTCTAGGCATGGATCACACCAAACCAAACGAATGCTGTCAACTGATGACAAACTCTTAAGCCATAAAAGATCAACTTCTTCTACATGACGAGTACCATGTGATGATAAACGACTTATAATAATGAATAGAAGAACAGGGATACTGAATGCGATAAACAGTGGATGAAACAGTAATGTAATAAATAGAAAATAAAATACATTTAGAAGAGTTTTTATCATCATTAAATAAGATGGCATGCTTTCTCGAAGAACGAATTACATATAAATTTTGATTATTCTTTCTTTTTCTTGTTCACGTATTCTTTGACTGAAGCATACTGACACTTTAAACATATGTACTTTCTTTTTTTGAAGCCACGTGGGGTCTTGTTACATATTGCTTCTCATAGTAACTGCACTGCTGCTTGTGTAAAGAGAAGAACGAGCATATTATTAATGCGATCAAGCTTGAGCAAAAGGAAAAAAAATGGAAGTTATTTTGTTTATTCAAGTGAAAAAGAGAAAAATATTTACAAACGATATACGATTCATTTTTCTGTAGTCACTCACATCCCACTCCACATCTTTTTTTCTTCTTGTTTTTTTAATATTTTCTGTTCGACTTCGGTTTTTCTTGTTTTTTAAAAAGTGATATTCGATTATGCTTAGGTTTTTGCAAAAAGAAAGAGAGAAAAACGGGTGTGGGTGTGGAGTGTGGGTGTGGGTGTGATTGTATGGATGTGGGTGTATGGGTCTGGGTTTTGACATTGAGTTTAACAACACAACCCAACTCGCGCTCACACACACAGCCATACCCACACCCTCTGCAACATCGAGATGTTTGTATCGTGGTAACTATAACAAAGCCAGTCACACTTTACGTGGCTATATTCGTTCACTACAAAAGATGGCTTCGCATAAGCTCTGTAAAAATCATCGGCTACTTGTTTCACATCTGATTAGCTTTCTCTCAACATTTAGCTTAAATAGACTATTTTATTCGATGAAGAAAAAAAATGAACACCAAAATAGTAGTAATGACACTTTCAGTGCCATTAAGGGATAAGAGTTGATTTGAATTGTCATCAGGGAACAGGGCTACCAAATCCAAATTTCAAAAACCAGAAGTTTTTTGAGAAAAATCAGGAGTTTACCAGAAGATTTTTACTGAAAAATCTGGAGAAAAACCAGGAGATGTTTATTGAAATCAGGAGATGAATAAGTGGGATTGTTTCAAAGAAAACTGAAGTTCTCGATCATCTAATCACTTGTTATGTTCTTCTACTAAGTTACTGATGATAAAATTTCCTTTAAGTGATATATATTACAAAAAAAAAGATGGTTCTGTAGAATTTATTTTACTACTCACATCACAGTGGCTCATCAAAATATACCGACAAAATAGAAAGTGAAGTTTAATTAGACGTTAAGAGAGGGTTTATGAGAGCACCGACCAAGCTGGCCTCCGACAAAATTTTGATTTTCGATTTAACTATCTAAAACGATACAGCATCATTAGGAGTTCCTAAATCCAAAATATCACATCTTTCTGATGTTCCTGTGAAAAACGTCAGATCATGCAAGTGACACACCCCTCGGCAGTTGGTCAAAAAATCACTATTTTTCAGCTCTTCCAGTATCTTGCACTTTTCTCAGCGTCCAAACATTTCTATGAGTTCGCGCAGGTCTCAAAAGATTCAGAAATATTTTCTCTACAAAATTCACTAATTCAGCGTATTCTACAATACTATCTACCAACTCATAGTCTCCATATACGAATAAAATGACGATTGCCTAAAAATGAAGATTTTTCATAATATTGATATTAGCCACGGTGAATCATGCTGTCCCAAAATAATTTTTATTTTTTCTGAAAGCCCTTGGAATTCTGCATCGTTTAAGGTATAACTCGAAAGGTTTCAACCTTGGTAACGAAAGTTACTCCGGACCTCAAACAGTGAGGGTAGGGCATATCTCCATGTATTTGGGCCCCTAATCCGAATAATACATATTCTATATTCATCGAAAACAAAAATCTGATTTCAGATTCGTATTCAGCACAAAAAATTGAGCATAGAAACTTGGTTTTGTTATATGAAAGATAAATCAAATAAAAAATTTCCTATCCACTACAAGTTACTTAGAGATATCTTAAAGTATACTTTCACAGATCTCTGTATTATTTTTCATGAGAAGATATTGAACGAGATGTTTAGGTTCCTGCGGAATCGCTGAAGTCTTAGCTTCAAAAGTACCTATGGTTGTATCATTAAATTTTTTATAGTTGTCGAGAAAACTAGATTTCTTTGATATGGGTGGCAAAAAAATACAAAAGTGTAAAAAACGGGGTCTATGTTCCATGGCTATCACCATCATAGCAAATTTCAAAAGCGAAATCAATAGCATTTTCGGAATCAGCGCAAAACACTACGTCGGAAATCATGTTTAAAAAAAAAATTTTTTTCCACGAAGAATCGATCCTGTGGTCCCACTCAACGCTTTTTTCCAAAATTTTGCCTGCGGCCCACCCACAGGGTCGATTTTTCATGGAAAAAAAACATTTTTAAATATGATTTCCGACGTAGTTTTTTGCGCTGTTTCCGAATATGCTATTGATTTTGCTATTGAAATTGATTATGATGGTGAAAGCCATGGAAAATAGACCCCATTTTTTACAGTTTTATATGTTTTTGCTACCAACAACCAAAGAAGTCTGGTTTTCTCGACAACTATACAAAATTTAAAGACACATCAATAGATACTTTTGAAGCTAATACTTCAGCGACTCTATATGAAGTAAAACATTTCACTCCACCTCTCTTCATGAACAAATATACAGACATCTATGAAAGTATACTTTGAGGTATCCTTCAGTTACTTGTACTGGACAGGATAGCCCGTTTTTGATTTATCTTTCATTTAATGAAACCAGATTTTTATACCCAGTTTTTTATGCTGATTACGAATCTGAAATCATATTTTCGATTTGAATGAATATAAAATATGTATTATCCTGATTACGGGCCCAAATGGATAGAAATGTGCACGATCCCTCACTGTTTGTGGTCCGGACTAACTTTCGCTACCAAGGTTGAAGTTTTTTGAGTTATATCTTAAACGATACAAAATTCCAAGGGCTTTCAGAAAAAATAAAAATTATTTTGCGACAGCATGATTCACCGTGGCTAATGTCAATATTATGAAAAATCTTTATTTTTAGGCAATCGGCATTTTATTCATATATGGAGACTAACACTTGATAAATAGCATTGTAGAATATACTGAATTAGTAAATTTTGTAGAGAAAACATGTCTGAATCTTTTGAGACGTCCCCAAATTCTCAGAAATGTTCGGACGCTGAGAAAAGTGCAAAATACTGGAAGAGCTGAAAAATAGTGATTTTTTGACTAACTGCCGAGGCCGAGCAGGCAACAAAACGGCAAAAACGGCGTTTAAACGTCTCAACATCTGAACAATTTAACAGTGTCATTAGTCGCCAAAAACGCGTTAAAACAGTTTATGAAAAATTAACTTTTAACACGTTTTACATGTTTAAACGCTTGGAGTCATTGAAATTATAGCTGTTTTAACGCGTTTTTGGCGACTAATGACACTGTTTAAACAGTTGAAATAATTTCCCTTGTCACGCCTCGTAATGATCAACAAACGTTTCATCTAAACGATGAAGTACCAATAATTTATAACTAAACTTTCTTCTCATTGATAAACTGATCGATTATATTCAAATTATCATTAGATTAATGTTAAATTGACATATGTTTATAGTTTATACTTTGAAAACAGTGCAGAGAATTTATCTCTCATCAGTTCGTTTCTTTTTATGTTAAGAGTAAGTGTATATTTTACTATTTACTTATTGATATTTTTTTTCTTTTTTGTTTTTTTTCAATAGTGGAAAGAAAGATAAAAAATGTAGTTTTAATCGAACAGCATTAACACCTTGTCATACCATTCCACTATTAGAAAAAAAACAAAAAGAAAAAAATACCAACAAGTAAATGGCAAAATGTAAACTTACTCTTAACATAAAACGAAACGAACTGACGAGAGATTTAATTCTCTGCACTGTTTTCAAAGTATAAACAATAAACATATATCAATTTAACATTAATCTAATGATAATCTGAATATAATCGGTCAGTTTATCAACGAGAAGAAAACTGAATTATTTCCATTCATGTTTCAAATAAGTGACGGATAAGATAGACTGATGAATAGATTTAAAATAGTACGACTAACACAGGAATTGATAAAAAGGCAAAGCACGGACTATCTAACCAGCTTCTAATATAAGGAAAACTACAATCGGAACTACTATGGTAGACAGATGTTCTTTTCAAGTATCATTAATAAATTTAACTTCATTTCGATCAAATTCTAAAATATCAAAGTACGGAGATATGATATAACTAGAAATGTCATCAACGCACTACGAAATCTCATAATTAGTGTGTATTAAGTTGGTCGCGAAATTGATTAAGGCACACCTATGCATCAGAATGCTATCTGCTTTTTCCTGTAGCGACGATATTTCTTTTAAAGCTCATTCATATTTCGATGACTTAAGATTCCCTTTTCATCGAGTAGAAAACCCAACTGTTTCAAACGTCTCATATGTCACACGTACTCGTGATGAACATTATATATGAAACATTTCAAGTGAGGAATATTTAATGGACCCTGCTATGTTTATCGTCTGCGAGCGACTCTGCTAGTTGTATTGTCATAAGTATCGTACATGTTATGTCTAAGTCAACACTAACCTAGTGAATATTGAAGTATTTTTCTCAGAAACTCACTATTAATAGCCATGCAGTAAGTGTCCTATTCTTTCTCTCGTTCTGAGTGATTTTCGCAGAAAAGAACTTATCTAATTCGAACATATCCAGTCTTACACAAAAGAAGTATGTGCCATTACATATAGTGAATTTAACATTAATTTTAAGTATACGTTAGAAATAAAATGGCCTACTCAGTTAGGCAACTATGTGAACGAAACAGAACACAAATGAATTCCAAATGAAAAGAACAGACGAATAATCGGACGAGAGAGTGATAAAAGAATGACCTCTTTTTTCCTTTTTCTGTGAACTGAACGGACGGAAAGAAAAGACAGAATGGAAAAAATTTCTTGCAAATGTGGACTGATGATAACTCTGTTTCTATGTGATGATGATAACTAGATGAAATATACAATAGTCAAGTTTTGAAACTTTTATTGAAACAGCTAATCTCT